AGAACTCTTAGGGTCCAAAGGGATAATGACCTTACCCGTAACCCAGAGCAATCGGCATGTACCTTGCATTAGATTGGGATGATACTGTACTTCGAAATTCGACTGAGGTTTTTGGTATCATAAGATACTTACCTGAAGTTAATGAAAATACAAATAAATTGTTTTCCCTCAGCAGTGCTAATGGAACAAAGGCTAATAAGGCCGTGCAAATTAGTGAACAAATTGATTCGAACGAAACATAGCTAGGTCAAAGTTCACAACTCACATGAGGGAAACTATTGACTATTAACACTTATAACGTTGGACTCAAACTCGATCTTGACAACCAGTCCGCTAACCCAATGTCATCCATAGAAAACTGATTTTCTTATTAAAGTAGAAACAATTTTTATCAAAAGAGGAGTCGAAATGCAAAGATGTAGCTTCTTTAGGTGTCACAACTTTCCTATTTTAAAGCGAGAGAATACCTCACCACTCGGATAAATTCTTCTTATCGTCAGGTCGTTGGGTTTTACCTTGTGCAAGCTGTGATGACCCTGCTAGCTGCTTCTGGAGACAAACAGTCTGGTCGCCACTTACATGTCAGTACAGTGTTTTTTCCAAGAATCATACCAGAAACTGCCTTGCAAACAGGAAGGTCAGAGCCAAATTAAACTTCATTCACTTTGCACTTGGTAGCTTGACTAGATTACACGCGTCTCTATGGGAAGCATTATTTTCATTTTTTGTGGTTAGGGTTACGTTGCTTTCGACATTGCAATTTTCGGAGGCTTGTTGCCTTCCAAATTTTGATCAAAGAGTGTATTCCTATTTAATATCGTAAAACTAAAATCGAAGTGATCTGCAGCCAATCAGATCCAAGGAAAGTTCGATGAGGAGCCAATGAGAGCTCAAAATAAGATGAGAAAACTGCCTGAAGCGCGGGAAAACGCGGGTGATTACAACTGTAAGGTCTACTCGGTTTCGGTTTTGCATCTGATGAGCCTAATGCAAACTGATGAGCGTAATGCAAACTGATGAGCACAATGCAAATTGATGAGCACAATGCAAACTGATGAGCACAATGCAAACTGATGAGCGTAATGCAAACTGATGAGCACAATGCAAAGTGATGAGCACAATGCAAACTGATGAGCGTAATACAAACTGATGAGCGTAGTGCAAACTGATGAGCACAATGCAAACTGATGAGCACAATGCAAACCGATGAGCGTAATGCAAACTAATGAGCACAATGCAAACTGATGCGACGAGGGATTACATCCGGTGCTTCACTGAAAATTTCTCTGACTTATTTTTGGTGACGCGCCTTTTGACGTTTTCGAACTCACGACTAGATTTTTCAATATCCTTTCAGTCATAGAAAAGACGAGGCTTTTGTAACAAGCGTTTTCTTTTTGTTTACATTAGATTCTTTTTGTCGGAGACTCTACCAATCGCGGCATTATGTATTACCTTATGGAAAAGGTATGGCTACGTAAGCAAGAGAACCCATATTTCTGCAAATGAAACTGTGTGATATCAATAGATAAACAAGAAAAAAGCATAAGTTAACGTCTAGCTTTTGAATGAAGATGTCCCCTATTTATTGTATCATTGTGTTGTATTAAGGAGGCAAACAGTTGTCTTAGTTCTTTAAAACTTGGGTATACTGACTACACAGAAGATTGATTTGATCTTGTTTCCAGTTCACGAAAGTTCTTTCTGTTCGTCACTCGTAAACCTTTAAGGCATTCATTCAGTGACATGTAATTATTCAGTGTTTCGAATCCTAGTTCCGCTGTCCTAACTATGTGGGAATATTTCCTTTTTGTTATGAAGCGCCTTTACTTGTCGGTGACATGTTAGTATGGAATACATATTACTGAGTTGATGAAGACGCAAGAAAACCGCCGGTTTTTCCTTTATCATTAATCAATTATTCCTTTACTACAGCTAAACGGTTCTTTAAGGAAATGGGAAAAGACGCATACAATGAAAATTTACAGCGACGAATTAAACAGTGGTCGCACCTCTGTCAGCTTCGCATATTACCCTCAGTTTTGGCTTCGTGAGAACAAGAGACCTGTCTTTGTTAAAGCGCTCTACCAGCTTATAGCGAGGTATCTCCTTATCTGTCTTTTATATGATATTAAAATACAGTAAAGCTCAATATGTACCAGATAAATCTTGTAATCTTCGTCACCTCCCAATCATTTTTCATTTCACGTTCATCGCGTTTGCTTGTAAACTCTTTCCAGCCAAACATCAGTAACATCAGTATGCACATCTATATTCTCTATACTGTTATCAGTACATTTCCTAAGGTACGGTCAAGGAGGATTTGTGTAACAATCAAGAGCTGCTTTAGTTGGTGAACATTTCATTTATTTTCATGACCTTAAATGTTTGATTCAGTCGTGATATTGAAAGAGGAAGTAAGATGTTCATTACTGTTAGGGGTCAAAGGTTTAAGTCGGCTGACGTGGAACGTGGAAAAAATACCGAAAGAGAGGGCAATTATTCACGTGGTATACCTTCGAAAAAAAGTTGGTAGAGACATGTAAAATGGAAGCAAAAAATGTAGAAAAATTGAATTCATGACCGTAACAAGAAGTCTCCCTTGAAGAAATAATATTCCCCTGGTTTAGCTTTAGTTTCATCGATTTACATCTTCCCCGATACCTTTATATGTGAGGAAGTTTCATTTGAAAAAGATAGATTGGTTGTTTTTGTTGTTCAATAGATGCATGGGTAAATGGGATAGAACAACGGATAAGTTATGTTCAACTGATGTGCTCAAATCGTCCTCTGGATACTAAAAGGGCGTAGGCTAGAAGAGGGGGTATGGTGCTCGTTCCCCCCTCTAAGAAAAAGCGATAATTTATGATAATAAAACAATCGTTTGCCCTAAAGTACCATCGATACGGTGGTGTAGTACTCTAAAGTGGAAAATCCTGCTAACCCCTGTCACTGAGTCATCTGTTTGATATCAGTGATACATCTTAGCCTGGTATACAGTTTTTCTTTGAAGGATGCGGTCTTGTTAGCACCCATTAGGAAATAATTAGTAATCATAATTCGTCTTTGTCCATTAGGTTTCTTCCTTTAGAAAACAACACGAAAACCATTCTTGTTGTGGGTGGAGTACAGTGGATGGGATTCCAACACATTTTGGAAACCAATAAAGCGTTAGCCAGGTGAAGTTTCTGATTCGAACCTTCATCGTTACGCGATAAACCATTGTCACTGGTTTGCTTCGTTTGGAATGCAAACAGTTGACTTTCAAGAACGTTAAATTGCTCATTTTCGTTTATATCGAGGTAAAGAAATTTTTTAAGGAAAATGGCTGTCTTGTCCACGCATTGAGATAACCTTAAATTGTAATTTGACCATAAGTGATGTAAACGCATAGTGAAAGAACGAAAGCGAGTGATTGTACTGTTAATTATTTTCCTGACGTGAAGTGATTTTTTTCTCCAGCCTTGGCTTGAACGGAATCAAGGTCGTTATCAAGAGCCTGGGCTCTGGATTTCACCTTCCCGTACCTGGACTTCCTCGTCACAACTTGGTAAAACTGCCGTTGTTGCTTAATTATGAATTCTGATATAAACTCTTAGTATTGGCAGCATTGATAGCTCATGACATATTTTCACAGGCAGAACAGCGAAAAACTGCCGAACGGAATCAAATGGTAATAAAAGCTGCTAAGCGGCTGGGGTATGAAGTGGTGGACACTTTTGGAATGACTGTTTCTAGATACAAGGACTTTCTCCAAGGAAACTGTGGCTGCCACTTTCACAAGGTGACGTTTATTTTTAAACGATTAATTTACATTCTTAATGTCTCTTTGACTTCATTCTCTTTCTCTTAGTTATTAGAACATAGCTAGCAGAACCGCGCAATCAAATTCAATATTTGTAAGCGTGCTCAAAATCCCGATAGTGCACGCTGACAGCGTCAGCAAATCGCTTCGCCAGAAATTTTTTTTTCGCGCGAGCGGCCGATTGTTAGCGCGGGAAAAATAATATATTTCGCGACAATAATGGATACAAACAGAAACTCGGCCTACTAGTCCGAAAACGAAGACAATGTTTCGACCTTTTCCCTTGGGCTAGAGTTCTTAAATGAGGCAGAAAAAGAGAAAAACAAAGGAAAAGGAGACTCGGCATCAGCGCCGTCACGATTCGCTTCAACTGATATTGTTGTCCATTTTTCCCGTCGGATTTGATGCACAATTCTACCGGCTATGTTCTAAAACAATTGGTTCATGCTTTCAGCTGTGCACTATCGAGTTATGGAGCACGTGGGAAGTTTGGAGAGCACTCAAGAAGCTAGAGTTGCCCTCGGCTATCGCCTCGGGCAACTCTTACGCTTCTTTCGTGCTCTCCAAACTTCCCGCGTGCTCCATAACTCGATAGTGCACGCTAAAGCATGAACCAATTGTTAAATATTCAAC